GAAAAAGAAATTGAGTACTTCAGCATTTTCCACTTCATCTATCACTAGGTTGCCTTCCTCATTCAGTAAAGGACCCACACTCCCAGATCTTCCTCTTATTGCTGGCATACTTCTAGAAACCCTTCTTGTTACTCTTCACATTCCTTGCTATCTGCAACTCCAATTGCATGTTGGCCTTCCTGGTTTCATTCCTGCATGCCCAAGCAATACTTCCCCTTAGTTGTTTGTCCAAGTTTCCACTTCTGATAAGTTTCCTTTTTAGTGATTTAGCTTATTGAAGAGACCCAGGCTAAGCCAGACTGGTCTTCTGCCATACTTGCTAGTCTTCCTGCACGTCAGGATGGTTTGTTTCTGTGCCCTCAGTAAGGTTTCTTTAAAGTACAACCAACTCTCCTGGACTCCTCTCTCCTTCAGGCTGGCCTCCAAGGGGATCCTGCCCATTAGTTCCCCAAGCGAGTCGAAGTGGTTTTCTGAAGTCCCGGGGCTGTACTTTGCTGCTTCCCATCCTTCCTTTCCTCAGGATCCTGAACTCAATCATCCCGTGATCTCTGCTGCCCAAGTTGTCATCCACTACTACATTCCCCACCAGTTCTTCCCTCTTTGTGAACAGCAGGACAAGAAGAGCATGGCCTCTAGTTGGCCACTCCAGGAAGTTGTCTCCAAAGACTTCCTGGATTGTCTGTACACTGCTGTTTTGCCCTCCCATCAGATGTCAGGGGATTGAAGACCCCCATGACAACCAGAGCCTGTGATCAGGAAACTTCTGCTAGCTGTCTGAAAAAAGCCTGGTTCGCCTCATCCTCCTGGCTTGGTGGTCCATAGAAGACAGGGCTGCTTTTCTTCAGGGTTATATTCCAACATATCTCTATTCCTTTCTAACATGAAAGTAACCACTGTTGAGCTACTTCTGGTATAGTAGTGTTGTTTCTCTAGTCATCTCATAATTTAATAAAGAAATAAATTTATTATTTATTTATTCGAAATAATTAATCATTTAAAAAATCATTCTGGAGTTGCTGTTGCATGTCCTGCAATATATCGGTCTGGTGCCTGTGACTTGAGGGGTTCTTCTAAGAAATCTGTTCACTTTCTAGTCTAGATGCATGGTAAAAATATAACTGTACTATTAGAGAAGCTTATAAACAGAATGTGTTCACAGAAGTTTAGGGCTGGAAGGGTCCTCCCAAGATCATCAGGTCCAGCCCCCCTACTCTGGGCAGGAAAGACAGCTGGGGTCAAATAACCCCAGCAAGGTGTGCGCTCAGTCGCCTGTTGAAGATCTCCAGGGTAGGTGCCTGCACCACCCCCGCTGGGAGTCTATTCCAGAGTCTGATCACATGAACCGTGAAGGTTTTTCCTTACATCTACTCTGAAACTTTCTTCTAGGAGTTTGACCATTGCTCCTGGACTTCCCCTGGAGTGCTTTGGTGAATAGTTGTTCACCAAGCCCCCGATGCTCACCCCTGATATATCTGTAAGCTCCTTGTGTTCTTGTTATCCCCTTCTGCCTGGTGTCTCAGCCCGATTGTTATGCCATGCCAATTCTGCCCCATCCCTAGTACCATCAATGTTATTTATACCTAGCCACTAGGGGTTTCTAGGCAACTGGCTTGCTCTGCTTTCCCTCAAACTACCTTAACTAGCGTAAATACTTCAGGTAATTGCACTGCAAGAGGACCCTGATGCTTTTCCCGGAGGTAAACAGACAAATCAATAATTTCACAATGGACACATTTCATGTTTCATTTTTATGATCTTTATCATCTGGTGTAAAGAACAATGCTTTCCATGCTATCACATTTAGCAGCTATAAATAATATATTCTAAATTAAATTTTTGTATTCATTAAACACCTGTAAGGTAATTATGCATTGCGACCTGAGCATTTTTTTGCCTGGTTTTACTTCTATCTTAAGTATCTTGTCTCCCTGTAGATTTACTGTTGTTTCCCTTTACTCAGTAATTTTCCAATACTGTCAGAGAACAGTATTTTATATTCTATATAAATAACTTGGGGAACCAGTTATTTTGAAGAGAAGTAAATAGATTGGGACTCAATTATTCAAGTTACTTACCTATCTTTCCGTGCACTGCCTCAGCAGATGAGCGGAGGCGCTTGAGGTAGTGCGCCCTTGGTTTTAATGGGTGAGGACTGCTGGGAAAACACTCTTACTGGGGAGGCATAAGCGGGGTCCTGTGGTTAAGATAGGGAAGAAGGCTTGGGAGACTTGATTCCCATTTTGCCATAGACTCCCTGCATGGCCACTTAATCTACTCCTGTGCCTTGGTTTTTCACCTAAATGTGGGGATCATGGTTCAGTGGTGTGTCGTGAGAACAGAGTCCATTTCTGACCATGAGGCACAACCTTTCTACCTATTCCTGAAATATTTATGAACTTTGGAAATTGCCTCCAGCTGGTCCTCCGGAGCCCAGAGTTGTTAATCTTGGGGGCCTGCTCGCAAAATCCTCCTTTGCACGAAGGAAGTTTTGACTTGATCTATGATGAGTATGTTTGACACAGGACTATAATTATGACAATGGAGGAGTGTGATTCTTGCATGGATGAGAGAGATGGCAGTTCTAAGTGTATGGCAGTGATCATTTTTGCCCTTGACTTGTGTGAAGCACCTAGGGTACTAAAACAGGCAGTCTAAAATCAAAATAAAATATAAATATTTGCCTAAATATGGGCTAGATGGAATGCAGTAGACAAATATATATATATATACGTGACCAAAAGAAAAAGGATCACTATCGTGCTCAAATAATACAATATGTTAACAGGCACGCCTAAAGTATATCAGAGATGTGCCCATTTTTGTTGTTTCTAATTGGTTCTGCATTCAGTCTCCTCAGTGCATTGCTTGAGTTAAACTGCCTGCATTTTAGAGCATTAGCAGTAAGTAGAAGTCCTGGAACTGCATCCTGTCTTGTGACTTGCATAAAAAAAATATCAGAATCTGGTCCATAATAAAAATGCAAATAAGGCATGGGTTAGTGCTCCAGTTGTGTTCCTAAGCCCTTTAAATCACATACACGGCAAAGATGTCTGGTTTTTATGGGCATGGCTTATACAAAAAAATGAGAGATTTTAGATTTCTCAGCTTCTGATGTTCCCTTTAATAAAAGTTAAATCCAAGCTACAAAGCAGGCAAATGCATAAACTGTGAACACTTTCATCCCTTTTATCGAATCATTATTTAGAGATATTTGGGGAACCACTTTCCTACAAACCAATTCTTTGTTGGGATGGTTTTGTTTTTGTTTTTTAATTAGGGATGTTTTATATGAAAAGTGTCTCTTCTCAGCTTACAGGTTTCATCTGCTCTCGCCTTGGAGGCTGTGTTTGACATAGCAATATTCGTGCAGGGGAAATGAGAATGAGAGGCCTGTTGGGGTTACAGCTTCAGTTTGGAGAATAAGCAGCAGGAGGAAATGAACGCCTGAATAAAGGACTTGCTTTTATGCAAATGTCCTTGATGATGCAGAAAGAGGGGGAGATCAATACAGAAAATATGATCTTGATGTTCTTTCTAAATAGAGTGCTTTCAGTGGTCTATTTTTTCCCAGGCATTGGCAGGTCTTTAAAGGAACCATGAAAGCTCCTTATGTCTTATAGAAATACCGCATCAACAGGCTTAGTTGCCTGAGTGTAGTCCCCAGTGATTAAAACTACACCTACAGCAAAAGCTGCAAGCTCTGTTTGCAAGTCTCTTCTTCTTACTTCAGACTAACATGGCTAACTACCTCTACTCCTTAGTGGAGCTGAAATTCCTTCTCCCAAAGATAAATTGTAAACACAGGTAAAATGCTACATTTTCCCATTTGGAAAAACAGGTTGTAACATGTTTATTATTAAAATTCAGAGGCAGATTTGCATGAAGAGAAATGGTTTATGAAAATGTATTAACTTCTGAGTCGAATTCCTGTGTTGTCCAGGTTTTCTCTCCATTTATCAGCTTGGTGTGGATGCCCACTAGATTTGTTTATACAAAAGTTGCAGATAATTCATAGTCATGCTTTACATTAAAGTGCAATTATAAATGTTTTTCAAAGGTTTAAAGAATGATTATCAGATGTTGTAATTGCATTTCAGACATAAGTAGCTTTGCTTATGGATGCTTATAACTCTCTCCAATTTCCTATCAATCTAGTGGACTCTATAACAATTCATTAATCACTTATTAGAATATATGCGTTAGTCACTTATTAACCCTTTACTAACTATAGGTGAAACCTATTACAAAGTATGGTTAAACAAATTGTATTTGCTAATTGAAATTAATGTTTGTAGCTGCTGATTCATTCAGAAAACAAACGCACAGGGTACTGGGTGACCAGAGAGATGGCTCAAACTGAATTACCTGCTCACAGGATTTAATTCAGTAATGGGGTGAATTTTTAAAAATAGGGTTTTGGTGGGATTTGAATGGTGCAAAGATTCTGTGCTAGCCGTTTGAAGAGAAGGCATTTTCACTTTTTTTAGAGCAATTGACAGACTGAAACGTGTGTCCAAAAATTATTCTTTGAATGTTTACAGTGTCAGACAAATCAGCACAATCGCCTCTTTTACAAACAGTTCTCAAGCTAAAGATGGGTCCAAATCCATTAAATTCATTGAACAGATTCCCTATATCTAGGTAATGGCTTAGTGGTTTTATTGCAGTACCAATATTGGTTAAGGCTCTATTCTCCAAACGCTTGTGCAGGTTATTGATTTTTAACTATGTAAGCGTGGTCATTGGCCTTTGACTTCACTGGGTCAAATCACATGCTTAAAGCTTGGCAAGTGCATAGGAGTTTGGGAGGTAAGACCCTACCCAATTCTCCCAGTTGTTCAAGGTGCGTAGACTTGGTCACTTGCTCCGTTCTTCCCTGCACAGGTCCGAAGCAGACCGTCATACAACTTGTCCCTACCCTTGTCCTTCAGGGTGGGATTATATTGGGTCAATGCCCCAAACTCACATTCATGCTCGGTCTTTTCTTTTCCCTTCTTCAGGCCTCCGGAATGGAGTCCTGTATCCACTGGACTCGAACTCACTGGTTGGATGCTCCAACTACCTCATCTTCCCGGCTCTGCAGGTAAGTATATCTTTGTAAGTATATCACTCTCCAGAGTCCCTGTGGTTGGCCACGCGATGCTGCCATCACTCCATGCTCCCATGGGTCTCCCTCTGTGCCATTCCCTTTGCTGGAGGAGAGCTGACTGTTCGGTCGGCTCTCTTTTAATTCCCTGTGCGATCAGCTGTGAGCCTGGCCGCAGCATCCCATTAGCTGCTTTGCCGGCTCTCCTAGCTGATGATCTTAATTGGCATCCGGGACTTTTGGTGCAGCTTTCCCCCTGTCCAGGCCTGTTGGCGAGTAATTTTCTATTTCCCCCTTGTTCTCTCTGCATTTTGTGACAGGGTAGACTTATTGCCCTGTCACCATATCCTTCTTACTGGAATAAGTTGCTTGGAGTATCTTTCGCTAAACTATATTAATCCCAGAAAGCAGTAGCTTTTAAATGTCTGTGTATTTTAGCAGTTTGCCCCTACTGAATAATTACTTTTGATATTTTCTATGGTCCCTCCTTCATCAAATATAAAGCCCTTGTACGCCGCTTTGTAGCTAAACTGAGTGAATAGAGACTTTTATGTTTTAATTTATGCAAATACACACAATTTCCAAAATTACTTAGTTCTTTCCTTTATCTAAATTTGTCCAGGCAGAAAGAAATCTACCCACACAAATTTTTCTTTTGCAAATTGCAAATGCACAGTTTCAGATCCACTTCCCGCAGTTTGTCCAGAAATTAGAAAGAACCACGTGTATGTATATGTTCAGGTCGGTGCCCATTTTTAAATATGTCATGTGTATCTAATTCTCTAACTGTCTGTGCTTCCATATGTGGAGGCCTTTCTCTATGGTTATGTGCAGATGGTGCAGAAGAGGGTTTAGTGTAAACCCAGTGAACTGGAGATAGAAAAGGCCAGGGAGATGTTAAAGGGTCACTCTCTGCCTTTGCAGAGGTTCACTGACCACTAAAAGGAGAAAATATATGGCCCATGTTAACCATCTGTGATAAGTTCAAAAAAAATTAATGCTGAAACAACAATGCCAGCACTCTGTTCCAAAAAAGATCTTGGTATATGAGGTATCGTATCACACTAATATTTCCCAGTGATGGCAACACAGTTGGCGAAATTGCTATTAAAAGCTGCTCAGTTTTCCAGGCCTCTGATCTTTTTCATATTTATTTTCTAGACATCTGTGGGTCAAACTAAAATTTCTCAGAACTAGTTTCCTCCTTCCCTCAAATGCCTTCTGTTTTGAAATATTTATAATGTCGGTGACAGCAACATTAGAGTGAGTCAGCTATATATTGCTTATGCACTGCTGAGTGAAGGATTGCTAAAGGCATAATTTCTTTATCAGTGTAACCTATTTTTGACTGGGTTTTGGGTTTAACTTCTCATCACGTGCACGTGTTCTTGGTTATTTTAAAGAAAGCCCCCAAAATAAGGATGCAGGTTGCAGTTACAGAGTTCCTTGTGAAAACATTTGCCATCCTTCAGCTGTCACTTCTGCTTCAGTTCAGGTATACTAATTGCATGCGTTGACCCACATACAGCAGAGCATTATTCCAGCAACTGCCTTGTGCAGTGGAAATTCTGTCATTTGTACCAAAGTGAGTCTGTAGTAGCTCTACAGAAATAAACATCTACTCCAGACATGTTTTGGTACAAAAAATAGTCACACTATGATGCCTTGCTTCAGGAAAAAGTTCCCTGAATCCATATCCAGCTATCATGCCATCTTGTACCATCGTTCTATTTCCTGTTTCCTTTTACAGTCCTCCAATTTCTCTCAGCCTTGATGCTGGATGGGTGTTCACCATTTCATGTATTAGGCACCTTTCAGCTCCTGCAAGAAATGAGACATGGACGCTTCAAACAGCCTCATTCAATATACAGCCCTGATTCAGTGTCGTAATGCAGCCTATTTTAGATGCTGAAAAGGCCTGGGCTCCTATGGGGGACAAATGATGTAGGGTGATATAATTAAAGCCTCAGTCATAAAGCATATACACAAGGGTTAGAAATTCAGATTCTACAGATAACCTCTTTCAGGCATTTCTTAACTATTGAGCACTTGACTTTGCAGCCATTAATATTCTTTTAGTGTATCTTTGAAATTAATGAAAGCACACCTCTATAGCTGTAACCCTGGAGAGTACATTCTTGACTCCTGTGATGACTGAATGCATGTCGCTCTGTGTATAGAAGTCTCTGAAATATGTAGGGTCACTTTTTTCCAAATGTGCATGTAAACTATAGAAGAGGGGTTTGAATTTATATAGTGTGTTTCAGTCAATGGACCCCAACATGCCTTGCAAGCTGAGCACCACTGAAACAGTTTAGAAGGTGGCCACTAGTGCCTCTGCCTCTTTCAGTGCCTAGAGCGGTCAGCAGCATGGTGTGCACCAGAGAAAGACAAAGTGGTGCAAAAATGCCTATTCATAAAAAGCCCGGTGGGTTGTTTAATCCCCATAAGTATGTAAGCTTCCTAGAACTGAATGTATTGCTATGGAAGGGTAAAAGGCTAAGACCATTGCCTCTGTTGGGAAAGATGGTCAAGATTTGGGAGGGCGGGGGGTGTGGGTTGTGAATTCTTGGGGCAACATGCCAGGTGCTGACATGAGAGGGGGAGTGAGGAAAAATGGCTGCTGCTGGCAGCCGCACTTTGTGTTTGTCATTACGGCACCAACCAGAAGTCACTGTTTCTGCTGTGCCTCAGGTGTCCACCAGCATCCCTACACTGCTGCTTCACTGTGAGGCCTTATCCCGTATTAGCTCTTTTAGGTACATACCTGGATTATCCATCTAAACACTGAATGATGTGTGGTTAAAAAGAGATTTCCAATCTGTAAAGTATTCCATAATCTTCTACCAAGAAGGAGCCTTGCAGCTCCTATGGATGCATCTAGATATGCTTGGGACCAGGATAGTTGAGTAGATATACACCATAGGCAATTCCTTACTCTGCTGCATACCTTATACCTTAAACTGTGGGAGTGTGTACACAAGGCGGAAAGGAGAAGAGGAATTCCAAATCGATGCACATGTGCACAGGAAAAAAGTTTTTAAAAAAAGAGCAGAGGGAACCTGTTTTTTTTTTTAAGCGGCAGGAGGAGGAAAGAACCTTTTATTCCTGCCCACCCAGAGCTATGACAAAGGAAATGACCTCCCCAGGGACTCGGCTTGACCCCCCTGGAGTATTCAGCCAGCAGAAGGCTGGTCAGACTCCGTGCAGCACAACACTTTTTTTGCAAGAGGACTGAATGTTAGGTGTGTATCAGTGGGGCTTCTGCCCCTGTGGCTGCAGCTCAGATGCTGGCATTTGCCTCTAGTTATGCCCACAATGTTCAGACTTCTTTGCCATCCTTGCCGTCAGTAGAAACCTGTATAGACCAGGAGTGAACAGAACACAAACAAACGACATTGGTGAAAGTGAGGGCACCCCATAAACATAAGCGCTGAAAGTCTGATACTGGGCTGGCACTGCTGGGTGCACATTGCTGCTTATCTTGTAAAATCAGCCATGGCTTGTGGCAGTGCAAGGGCAGGGCAAGTAGCTGATTTTACAAGAGGCACGGTTGTCAGGCTCCAGTCCTGTGTGTGATGAGAAGGCAAATAAAATCAATCGTGCCACTGAGCTGCTAATTTCCATGCCCCAAAACTTGCAGGTGCAGCCACACAAGAAGAGCAATCACTCCAGTTAATTATCTGTTCATCCCCCGCCCCACAAGGCACTGAAGCTAAGTTCATTTTTGCCATAAAAATATGCTTTTGCACAAAGTAGGTTACAAAATACTATTCCTTCTGCGGTATCCGCTCTATCTCGGGAATGCAGATATGCTGCACAGGCCCCAAACAACCCCACACCGAAATGTATCACTGACAGTGCTGAAGCTCAGGTTTGTTATGCAATCTTCATCCCGTAGCATGTTCCAAGCATTGCTGCCCTTAAGTGTGGTCTGAACACAGGAGTAGGAGCCAGGGACTCCTCCTGAAATCTACTTGTTGTACCTGCTCCCTTTGTGGCTTTGGGGAAGTTAAGTGAATCTTAAGGGTGGTTTGCTCTACTCATTGACACCCAAAATGTTAGAAAAAATCTGCAACATGGAAGGGCAGGGTGAGAGTTGCAGAAAGACTAGGAAAAGTGGGGGAGGTGAGACAAGTCAAAACTAACTTTTCACTGGGGTCCTGACATGGCGTAGACCTCCCTTTTGGTCTGTTCTCTACTCCCCTCAGTTTTTTTGGCCCAGACATTCCTCCTGCTGCCATGTCTGGAGTCTTAATGTGATGTATGTACTTCAGCATGCCCATATGTAAAATGGATGTAATGCTGCTTGTGTCTGTCTGGGGATTAATTAATATCAGTCTTAATTAACCTTAATATTTATGAAGTTCTTTAAAGCTGCAATGCCTAATGTAATCGCAATGGATAATTATTCATAACCATGTTGGCTTGATTACCTCTGCAGTATAACAAAGGAGTATTTCTTTCCAGCAAATTTGTGTTGTTTATGGATTCTGCAAGCTTCTTTCAGATTTCCTGACTATTTAAAGTGAATTGTATGCAGATTGCAGACACAGTGTAAAACAAAGCTAAGTAACAGAACAAAATAGTTATAAAATCTCTTCCAGCCCCTTACACCCGTTATCCATGTAGAGTTGCCAAACAATTTCAGTATTTTATAGTCCCTTCTCCCAAATCAAATTCTGAGTTGCTTTTGGTTTAAAGGCTAATAGCTTTTCAAAATATGTTAGTGGTTTCTTGTGACAGATCCAAGATTAGTTTTATCCATTGTTTTAGAAGGTATTCTACAAGCCTATGGTACCATCAAGTTTATGAGGAGTTTTACAAGCTTTCTTGAGTGTGTTGTGCTTTAAAATGCTAAAAAGCAGTTAAGGAAAGCAGAAAACAAAGGGCAGCAGTGTTTCTATCTGACATCCCAAAGTTCTTCCAAGTGTTGTATTGTCAGCAAGCAGGGAGTCATGACTAAGCTCTGTGAATGAGAAATCCTTCCTCTGCAACCAAGCCAAAAGACCCCAGCATTGCACAAACAGGCTTGGAGAGGTGTTGAAGTGATGTTAGGGTTATCTGTGCCTATGGAGACCCCATTATTAAGACTGGCAGCAACTTTCCAAGATACCGGAGTAGCCTCCAGTATCTAGTAATGCCTCTGCCTCCACTTCCTGTGACTGTCGTCTTTTGGGACAACACATCCTGGTACTCCAGGTTAATTGGGTTCATAGCGAGCCAGAAATAGTAAAATCATACTTTGCAGGTACTTGGTGAAGTAGACGACATCATCTCATTCAAAATGGACCTAGTCCAGTTGGAAGTTGGTATGCGAAAGCAGAAAGCAATTGGATTGGCAGTCACCAGACAGTGGAGCATAGCTGCACTGTGTCTTTTGTCAACCCACCTTGTCTGGAAAGTAGATGGCTACTTGCTCTAACGGTTAGTCGGTGGTAACTCCCGCTGTAGTCAAGAAGGTTTGTGGATATCTGAGACAACGTGTGCTCCTGAAGGGAGAGCGTTGTTTTTCTTGAAAACAGTAGTTAATAGACCTTTTGGCATCAAGAATGATAGCTGCCCTGGTTGCCCTGCTCTAGTTACATCTCCATTACCAAAAGTTTCATGAAGTGAACCTGTAGCAAGTTGGTTTGCTTTAGTT